CCCTCTGCAGCCCTCTGCAGCCCCCCGCCCTCTGCAGCCCCCCAGCAGTCCCCCGCCCTCCGGAGCCCCCCAGCCCTCTGCAGCCCTCTGCCCTCTGCAGCCCTCTGCCCTCTGCAGCCCCCGGCCCTCTGCAGCCCTCTGCACCAGGCCAATGTGGCCAACAGAACCACAAGTCCCAAAGCACCTCACACCTCTGTCCCTCAACACATGCTTCCTGCAGACACCCTGAGACCTTTGGCAAGGTCTGAAGAGGACATTGTCCCTCAGGGCCTGTACCCTGATGGAGGTACCTACAGCTCCAGGGAGGGGGACTGAACTGCTGCAGTTGCATGTGACACAGGACTAAGCAGTGCTGGCCTTGCCACAACCAAGCTGGCTTGTTCTTGATGTCAGCAATTAATCTGTTTCTGACCAAGATCCAGAGATCATGATGTACGTAGATAGGATTTAGGTCACAGAGAAATCCCCGAAGTCCCTGGCATGTGGACTCTCACTCATACAGCCTGCTTTCAGATTCCAATGTCTTTCCACACCTGTGTCTTATAGCTGAGAAAGTGGGAGGGCTGTAGCACTGTGTGTTTGAGTGGCATGGTGTCTTAGTCTGTTTTCTATTGCTGTAATGAAATACCTGAGATTGGAACTTTATAAAGCAAAGAGGTTTAGCTGGGCATGGTGGTGCATGCCTGTAATCCCAGTGGCTTGGGAGGCTGAGGTAGGAGGATCGCAAGTTCAAAGCCAGCCTCAGCAAAAGCAAGGATTTTGCTTCCTGCTGACCCTGTCTCTAAATAAAATACAAAATAGGGCTGGGGATATGACTCAATGGTTAAGTGCCCCTGCGCTCAATCCCCAGTACCCACCAACAAAACCAGGAAAAGAGGCTTGCTTAGCTCACAGAGTCCAAGAGCTGAAAGTGACATCTACTTTGCCTGTGGAGCTGGCACCAGCTCCTCTCTGGTGAGGGCCTCAGGCAGATGGCATCCATGCAGTGGAAGGGACAGGGCTGTGTGCAGACAGGCCGTGATGACCACTGCACCCAGATGGGCCTGCCCCACCCCAGCAGTGCCACCACCAGCTGACCTCCTCCCGGGGCCCAGAGTTGGAGGAAGGACCACATTGCCTGTGCCCTGAGCACTGGCCACAGCARCCACCCACTTGGTCCCCAGAGGCCACGCAGTAGGACCCTCGCTTTGTAGGTAGAATATGGGCAGGTCCTGAGAAGGCTGCCCCCACCCACAGTGGGTGGTGCTGGCACAGGCGGGAGAGGAGCCCCGGGAGTGGCTTGGCCACTGCCTTCGCCGCCGTCACCCATCCTCCTGCCCTTGGTGTGGTACGTCACCCATCCTCCTGCCCTTGGTGTGGTACGTGGCGTTGGCCTTGAAGCCCCAGCTCCCGAAAGTGAGCTGCCTGTGTCTGCATTGCTGACAAAGAAGATGTTGTTACAGCCCTGGTTCTCAGGACCCCAGGGCACAGTGCCAACTCAGGCAGAGACCACAGGTGGGCTCGCTGTCCTTGCCTTCCGCCAGGCCACAGCCTTCCCGGGTCACAGCTGACAGGGCATCCTGAGCGCTGCAGGGAGCCCAGGTCCAGCCATGCTGGAGGGCAGGTCCCTGTGACCTTGTGGGTGTGGATCTTTAAGACGTGAGTGCTAGTTCCTCCTGTGGGCCAGACACGCAGAAGACGGGGATCGCAGGAGTTAGAGGTCTGCAGCCGAGACTTGGGGTGGGCAGGAGGCGTGAAGGTGCCCATCCACCGTGAGCTGGAACTGACGCTGTCCGCCACATGGGGTAGGATCATCCAGGACCCTCTGGGAGGGAGCTGTGTGGGGCTGTGCTGGGGGCCTGCCACACCCCAGCCCGCTCCCCTGCCGTCCTCTCTGCGGCTTCTGCGAATGTCCCCAGTGAGCCCTGCAGGGGGCCACCCTTGGRCCTTTGCAGGCACCTCCCCTGGGCCCTGCAAGGCCTCATCCTGTTGGGACAACATGCCACGGCTTTGCAGCTGATCTTAGGATACTGGGTGTACACCGTGACCAGGCCTCGGGCCCAGCAGYGTGTTGCTTGGTCACCGCAGGCGTCCCCTGGGCTGAGTCTCTGCCTCCCGAGCCCCCGGGGTCTGGTGGGGGTGCCTGCATCTGTGTGGTCTTCCAGGGCCCCTGCTGCAGGGTGGTGGGGAGGTCAGCCACACGCTCATCCACAAGGTGCCCTCTTGGAAGTGACATCACCATGTCCGTTGGCRTTGAGTTGGCCGGAGTGAGCGTGGACAGTCGGGAAGCAGGTGTCAGCAGCGTGTTTGTGACGTCCTTCTAACTTTACAGCCAGGCCACCGATAGTGTGAACATGGGTGTGCTTCTGTGTGCGCGGTGTTCACGCACATGTTGTGGCACACGCGTGTCATGTTCGTGCACTGTCATGTGTGGGCACATGTGCTTGTGTGTGCGTGGGGCCTGCACTGGAAAGACCCCAGGGCTAACTGGCAGACTCGCGGGCTGCCCACGGCCCCTTCCGCCCTCGCTTCTGTTCCTGCCTGAACTGCTTCCCCCGCGCCCCAAAGCGTGTGCGCACACCAGTGAGAGGGGCTCAGGTTGCAATGGGGGACAAGCACAAGCCCCTGATGGGTCTGGGCCAGGTGTGTGCTGAGTTCACAGGACGAGGACCCTCAGGGAGAACTGCCGGGGAGAACCTCCCACCCGTCAGCCCCCAGGCCCCCGACAGGGGAGCCGGCCTTCAGGGCAGGGGGGTGAGAGAGCCAAGCCCGGCAGTGACCAGAGCGGGTTTCCATTGCAGGGCCGGGGCTGATTTTCATCATCTACCCTGAGGCGATCGCRACACTGCCCCTGTCCTCCGCCTGGGCGGTGGTCTTCTTCGCCATGCTGCTCACCCTGGGGATCGACAGTGCCGTGAGTCCGGTGGGCCCTGGCTGCCGTGCCCAGCCCCCTGGGGCCCTCAGCACCATGCTCGACGTGTTCCTGGGGCGATGCCCTGGCATGGCCAGGCAGAGACCCAGAGACCCACGGATGGTCCCCCGAACCTCCCTGCTCAGCACAGAGCCTACTCAAGGGGCACAGGCCAGTCATTCTAGACCCTCTCTGGAGGGAGCTGGGCGGTTCCTGGAGTTTGGCTTACCCTTCCTCTTCCCCCTTGGGCCTTCAGTGTGTCCACCCTGGGCCCCTCAGAGTCTGAGCCCACATGCAGCAGGCCCCAGCCACCAGAGGCCTGGCTCAGAAAGCATGACCAGCCAGAGGGCATGCACGGCGGGCAGTGGAGGCTGCCCGGGGCCCTGGCTGGGCCTGGGCTGGCAGCACCTTCTCAGGGTCCTTCTGCCCCATGAGCTGAGCCTCGGGGCTCACAGGATTGGCGGGAGGGGGCAGTGCCTCTCGTATTGGCCCATCCTGATGGGGCCCAGGATATGCTTGCTGGAAAGGTGGACTAAGAATCCCTTTCCCAAGCAGGGAGGGCCACCAGCCACAGCCCTCCCTCACCCCCCACCAAGCTGGGTCACAGCCCTGGGGACCAYGGGCCTCTGTGTCCCTGCACTCAGGTGGAGGGTGCTGAGAGGACACAGGTCTCTGAGCTGCCCTCGCAGCAGAGCCTGGCCTGCCAGGTCCCRGGTGGTATCCAACAGACTGTCTTAGCCAAGGCCTGGGGTGGCTGTGGTCACCCTCCAGGCCCCCCTCTGAGGGCCCTGTCACCAAGGAAGTGTCCCTCACTGAAGCCCTTTCTTCGTACGAGCTCTGAACTACTGTGCAGGCCCCTCCCCCGTGTCCCCCCCGGGTCGCACCCCCCACGACAGGACTGTCTCTGCCGGGTGGTGCCAGTGCCCTGCTTGTGTCCTGCAGATGGGCGGCATGGAGTCCGTGATCACGGGGCTRGTTGACGAGTTCCCGCTGCTGCACCGGCACCGGGAGCTCTTCACGCTCGGCATCGTGCTGGCTACCTTCCTGCTCTCGCTCTTCTGCGTCACCAACGTACGCACGGGTCTTGCTCTCCCTGGCGTGGGCAGGTGGCTGGGGCCGTCAGGCTGGGCAGGCCAGCCGCCTCTCTCAGAAGCTGCAAGTCCCCAAACACAGTTCCCCGTAGCCCCACACAGGACAGCTGCCTGTCCGGAGCGTGGTCCCAGAGTGACGCCACCACCCAGGGAGCTCCCGGAAGCACCCTCAGTGGAACGTGGGGATGTGGGGGACTGGATGGGCAAGGGGAGGAGGTGGCAGAGGAATCCAGAGCGTGGCGCTGGCCTGTTTCTCCTGGAGTCCTGGGAAGGGGACCTAGTGTCAAGCTTTTTGTGATAGCTGCATGTGCTGGTGTTCAGTGCTCTGGGCTCCACGGGAGTAGACAGGACACATCTCAGAGTGGACCCGCAGGCCAGTCCTGTGAGGGAGGCCCCACAGCAGGGATTCCCTCTGCTGGGGACCAAGTCCAGCCGGGCCCCTCTCTTGCAGGGGGGCATCTACGTCTTCACGCTGCTGGACCACTTTGCAGCCGGCACATCCATCCTCTTTGGAGTGCTCATTGAAGCCATCGGAGTGGCCTGGTTCTACGGTAAGCCCAGAGTCACACTGCTGTGCTTTCTCTGTGGCCACCAGGCCGGCTTCCTCTTGCTTGCTTCCTGTGGGACCCATAGTCTGCAAGGCCACCAGGTAGTCTGGGCAGGGCAGGGATCCTGGACAGCTCTAGGGGAGGCAGCCAGAGCCTGGGGTCTGCAGGGTGGAACCTGCATAAAAGGAACTGGCGTGTGTTCAGTGTCATGGGAACAAGGCTGTCCTGACCCTGTGGTCACCACGTCCCCACCGCAGGTGTCCGGCAGTTCAGTGAGGACATCAAGCAGATGACGGGGCAGCGGCCCAGCCTGTACTGGCGTCTGTGTTGGAAGCTGGTCAGCCCCTGCTTCCTTCTGGTAAGTGCCACAGCCRCCCATCACTCCGTCTCAGCCCCAGCTGGCCTGTGCCCAGGGTCTGGAGCCCGGGGCACTGTGGCTGGAGCCGGGGGTCTCAGGACTCAGCAGAGGAGGCAGGTGGGTCCCCCACATCCTCTCTGGCCTCCCGAGGCATCTTCCACCTTGGGTCTGGACCGGAACACATGCGGGATTGCAGGACCCTTGGGCTACTCAGGTCCCAGCGAGTCCTGGCCTTGAGCTGTCCCTCTGTGTCGGAGGGAACCTAGAGACAGCCAGGCCTTCTGCTGCGAGTCAGAGACAGAACTAGGCCTTCCAGAGCCCATCAGACCCGGGGTCCCCGAGGTCAGGAGTGACCTAGACCCTCCACTGTTCCCAGGGCCCCTCAGCCTGGGGACCATTAATGTGGTCAGTAAGCCCCTGGCTTAAAGCAGGGACAGGGATCCGACTGGGCCCAACTAGCAAAGGCCCCAGCCACCTGTTTTTGTAGAGTTGCACCCAAACTTGGCAGCAGCCGGTGGCCTCAGGATGGACTCTGGCTGCCTCACCCTACTACAGCACAGAACAGGAGGCCTGTCAAAGCCAGAGCCCTGGCCAGTGCAGATGCTGGCTGTGTAGGGCTGCAGGCCGGAGCAGATCCTGAGCTGTCACAGGTGGGCACACCTGCCCGGAGTCCCCAGCCACCTGTGCAGCCCTGGAGGAGAGCCGCAGCCAGACACCCTCAGAGCAGCCTGGGCCTCTCTCCAGGGCCAGCAGGGGCCCTGGGAGGTGAAGAGACTCACCAGCAGCTGGACGGTCCCAGCAAGTTCACGTGCGGAGGTCTGAGAATCTGAGCTGACAGCAGCACCTAGGGTCCAGACGAGAAGTGGTGAGTGCTCTCCTGGAGGGCTTGACGCCACGCCCGAGGCCCAGCAGGCTGCCTGAGGAATCAGCAGTGGCTCCGCGCCCACCTGTAGCTCTGTGGGCGAGCCCCCAGCGCGGCTTGAAGCCCTCGGCATCCCGGGAAAGTGCTTCCGCCTGCTGGGGACCCCACGTGGAGCTCAGGAGCTGCCCCCCCGGACACCGTGCCATCGCCTTCTTGTCTGCCCCCTCAGCACTCATACCACCAAGAGCCGACCCAGGCCTTGGGAGACCAGCACCTACAGACACCTGACTGCATCTGGAACCTCTTACTCCACACTCTCCATACTGTTCTGCAGCTTGGGGGGGACAGGAGGACTCTGGGTCAGAGCCCTTCCTATGAAATTTGCATGTGACAGAAAGCCAAGCTCCACACTGTCCTGTCTCCCTGAGTCACAGCGTGGCCCTGTCCTCCGGCCTCAGGGACCTGGTGCACTGTGGGTGTGCCCAGTCCACAGGGGACTAACACACTCCCAGAGGGTATACCAGCTCACAGTCGGTGCCTGTGGGAGTGCGGCCTTTCCAAGCCACGCAGACCCGCAGGCAGCCGCCACGCTTATCTGGTGCTCCAGCCTTCGTGAGCGGTCCGTGGGCTTCCCATGCCTTGCTCAACACCAGCCTGAATTCCAGCCCCACCCTCCGTCTTTTGGCTCCAAGCTGGGGACCCTGAGAAMAGCTGAGAATTTGCTTTCCAAGCTGCATCCTAAACTGTGTCCCGAGGATTCCTGCATTCCCTCTAGAAGGCCCCTCTCGCCAGGTACACACACTCCAGTGTGCACATGTGGGGCACAGCACACACTCAGGGGCACGTGTGGGCTGCAGTGCACGTGTGGGTGTGTGGCCCACGTGCAGGACGTGTTCCTGATAACGCCCCTGTGGAGGGGAGGAATGAACAAGGGCATGAAGAGACCCCCACGRCAATGAGACCCCATCCCCATCAATCAAGAGACCTCCGATGGGGACCTGTTCCCATCAGCGGCTGCCACACGCCCTCTGTTCGCAGCTGTGGCCATCACAGTGTGTCTGAGATGATGCCAGTTGCCAGTGGCATCATCTCTCCAAAGTGGGTGAAGAGGCCACACCCAGGCTGCCCGGGGTGCCACAGAGCCACAGTGTCTTCCAGCCTCAGAGGGGATTCAGTGTGTTGGAGGGAGCTGGTGTGGCTTTGATTTCAGCAGAGGAGAGGGTAGGTAGGATGGGTGGGGTAGAMGGAGCAGGGTAGGGAAGGGTATAGTAGGTGGAGGGGGTCGCAGGTGGGCAGGGCAGGGCAAGGAGGGTAGGCAGAGAAGGAAGGGGGGAGGGAGGGTGGGGCACGGTCAGGTGAGCAGGGCAGGAGGAGCACAGCACGGAGCAGGACATGCCGCTGTTCTGGTCAGTTTTGTGTCGCTGTGACCAAAGACCCGACAGGAACTCAGGAGATGAGAGGTTTATTTAAAAGGCGCGTGTTTCTGGGGCTCAGTCATGGTGGGCTGACTCCACTGCTCTAGGCCCGAGGAGAGGCAGAGCCTGACGGAAGGGCGTGGAGGACAGCRGCCCAGGACACGACACCAGGACAGAGAGGCTCTGCTTCAGCAACCCCAGAGGCACAGCCCCAGGACCACCCCCACAGCCGCACCCCACCTGCCCACGGTGGCCACCCATTAGAGCCGAGCTCTCCTAACCCGGTCACTTCACTCTGACACTCTTGCGTGACCTCGCACGGGAGCTTTTGAGGGACACCTCAGATCCAAACCCATACWCTCCAAAGGACCTTGCTTTAGCTGTTCAGCCACCCCCAGGTTGCTTGTCCGCAGGGCCTGGCCAGGGTCCAGCATGTGCGGAGGGGCAGCCCTGGGGGTTGCCACTCTGTCTCTCCCCACCCCCAGCACTCCTGACCCCTGTGTCCTTGTTGCAGTTTGTGGTTGTGGTCAGCATCGTGACCTTCAGGCCACCCCACTACGGAGCCTACGTCTTCCCTGCCTGGGCCAATGCCCTGGGCTGGGTCATTGCCACGTCCTCCATGGCCATGGTGCCCCTGTACGCCGTCTACAAGTTCTGCAGCCTGCCAGGGTCCTTCCGAGAGGTGGGTGTGCACCCGGCCCCTCCTGGGCCTACCCGGCTACCCAGGAGGTCTGGGCAGTGTCCACGCCCTGGCTCAGCCCGACCAGGGGAGATGGGGAGGCTGAGGGGTGGGGCCAGTGCAGCAGGGAGTATGAGTCCAGGAGCCCGTGCAGTGTCCACGTGTGTGTCTAGGTCACCTCACACCCGTGTCTTGTCAATGAGTCTGTGTCATGTGGCGTGTGCTGTAGGTGTGCATGTGTCCACCTGTGAGTCCATGTGTCTGTGTGTATGGACACCTGCACACTGCCGTGGTGTCAAGGGTGACCTGTGTCCCTCCAGGGTGGCCAGGTGAAGCCCCTGATGCAGCCATGGGCAGCTCTGGGCCCCCACCCAGAACACTCCTCCTCTCCGCCCGGCTTTGCCCCTGGAGCAGGGGCAGAGACAGGTCTGGGAGGCCATGTCAGACTCCTCCCTGAGAGCCCCCCAGGTGGTCCCCAGCTCTGCTCTGTGCCCGAGTTCTGCAGGCCTGCTTAGGAGCAGTGCCTTGGGAGAGCCCATCCGTGTACCCCGGGTCCAGGGTTCACTCTGGAGCCAGCATCCCTTGGTCTGGGGCACCAMAGAGGGCTCCTTGCCTCACAGACTGCCCTTGGCCCAGTTGCCCTGTCCTCAGGCCAGGCAGGGCCTGGAATGGGTCCAGTGCAGCCTATGACAGGGGCTATAGCTCCTGGGGCTGCCTGGCCTCAGAGGTAGCTGATGTTGCCTGCTGTGGACACTTGCGGATGTCCAAGCTGCTGTAAAGCAGGTGCCGGGCAGTTCCTGGAGGGAGACGGGTTCCTCAGGGCCCAGGACCATGGGCAGTTGGTGCGSAGCTCCTGGGGGAGAGGTTTGCATGCAGTGGGCCCCAGCGGCCATTCTGCTGCCAGCTCCCACCTCCCAGCTCCCACACAGACCAAGAGGGACCTCAGTAGCTGGACTGGTGCCACCAGATTGTGCCCCCACATGGGCCAGGCGCCCAAGGCCCCAGGTAGGGACAGGGACTCAGGGACAGTCATGGTGAAGCCTATTCTCGAGGCTGGGGGCACGAGGCTCAGCACTGAATGAGAGAAGCGGGACCTCCTAGCAGACACTGTGGGGCTCCACACCTGGGCTGAGGGACAGGGCCCTGCACCACAGCCTGGGCTGCAAGTTGGGCCTGGACGCTGGCAGATGCCCCACCAGGACATGCGGGCTATGGGCTCCTGCATCTGCCCACATGTCCCCTGAGGAGCGTTGGTGCCCTCTGGCCGGTGGGGGCCTGCGGGTGCCAATGCCAACAGCTCATTCTCCCTCAGAAACTGGCCTACGCCATCACGCCTGAGAAGGACCGCCCGCTGGTGGACCGAGGGGAGGTGCGCCGGTTCACGGTGAGTCGGCAGGGCTTCAGACGATGGAGGAGCAGTGTCCTCGTCCCACAGCTGCTCCTGGGGCCCCAGAGGGCTGCGTGAAGCAGCACACRCTTGGGTGCACCCATGTGCCACAGGGTCAGAGGCTGGCCAGGGGCCACCTGAGGTCTTGAGCTGAGGACGGGGCAGCTGAGAGCAGCAGAATCAGTGGAGATGACGGAACAGGTGACCGCTGACAGACACCCATGGGGGCGGGACCCACAGGGGGCTGAGCCTGTCTCCCTGGGCCTGGTGAGGCAGAGGAGGCAGAGGGTCCTGGAAGCTATGGGGGCAGAGAGGGGACAGGAGGGGGAAGCGGCTCTCGCAGGTCTAGAGTGGGTCATGTGTCCACCGAGGCCCTGGCAAACCCTGACAGCACTGTCTCCCTCACTCAGGAGCTCAGGGTGCATGTGGGCAC